TGGATGGAAAGATGGGTGGACAGACAGACGGACGGATGGATGATGGATGATGGGTGGATGGACAGGCGGACGGGTGGATGGACGGACGGATGGACAGACAGATGGGATGGATGGAGAGACGGATGGATGGATGATGGATGGGTGGATGGATGGGTGGATGATGGACAGATGGATGATGGGTGGATGGATGATGGATGGATGATGGATGGGTGGACGGATGGACAGACGGATGGATGATGGATGGGTGGATGGATGATAGGTGGATGTTGGATGATGGACAGGTGGATGATGGATGATGGATGGATGATGGATGGGTGGATGATGGACAGATGGGTGGATGATGGATGGGTGGGTGATGGATGGATGATGGATAAATGGTGGATGGATGATGGACGGGTGGATGATGGATGGGTGGATGGATGATGGATGGTTGATGGATGGATGATGGATGGGTGGATGATGGATGGGTGGATGGATGATGGATAAATGATGGATGGATGATGAATGATGGACGGCTGGATGATGGATGGATGATGGACGACTGGATGATGGATTATGGATGGGCGGATGATGGATGGGTGGATGACTGATGATGGATGGATGATGGACGGGTGGATGATGGATGGATGATGGATAAATGATGGATGGGTGATGGATGGTTGATGGACGACTGGATGATGGATTATGGATGATGGATGGGTGGATGATGGACGGATGGATGATGGGTGGATGGACGGGTGGATGATGGATGGATGATGGATGATGGATGACTGGATGATGGATTATGGATGATGGACGTCTGGATGATGGATGGATGAAGGACGACTGGATGATGGATTATGGATGATGGATGGGTGGATGGATGGGTGGATGATGGACAGGTGGATGACTGATGGTGGATGGATGATGGACAGCTGGATGATGGATGGATGATGGATAAATGACGGATGCATGATGGATGGTTGATGGACGACTGGATGATGGATTATGGATGATGGTTGGGTGGATGATGGATGGGTGGATGGATGATGGATAAATGATGGATGGATGATGGATGATGGACGGGTGGATGATGGATGGATGATGGATAAATGACGGATGGATGATGGATGGATGATGGTCGACTGGATGATGGATGGGTGGATGATGGATGGGTGGATGATGGACAGGTGGATGACTGATGGTGGATGGATGATGGATGGGTGGATGATGGATGGATGACGGATGGATGATGGACGACTGGATGATGGATTATGGATGATGGATGGGTGGATGATGGATGGGTGGATGATGGACGGGTGGATGACTGATGGTGGATGGATGATGGATGGATGATGGATGGATGATGGACGACTGGATGATGGACGACTGGATGATGGATTATGGATGATGGGTGGGTGGATGGATGATGGATAAATGATGGATTATGGATGATGGATGGGTGATGGTCGACTGGATGATGGATTATGGATGATGGATGGATGATGGATTATGGATGATGGATGGGTGGATGATGGATGGATGTTGGACAGATGGGTGGATGATGGCCGATGGATGGTTGTCGGATGGATGGATGGACAGACGGCTGTCTGTCTGGATGGACGGACGGGTGCCGGCCCGCTGGCCGGGGGACGCCGAGGCCGTCGGCAGCGCACGGGGGCCGCGCTCGGCACCTTCTCACCGAAGTCTCTCTCTCTTTTTTTTTTGTTTTCTTTCTTTTTTCTCTTTTTTTTTTGTGTGCTTTTCCTTCCTTCCTGCAATTTCTTTTTCTCCACGCTAAAATCACCCGGCCCCATCCCTCGATGTAAGTTGACGGCAGCGCCGCGGTTTGCTCTTAAAAAAAATGAGGAAAAATTAAGGAAAAAAAAAGAGAGAGAAAAAGAGAAGTGGAAAAAAATAATAATAATAATAAAGTGAGGAAGGAGAAAAGGCGGAAAAAGCAAAATGAGAGAATGAGGGAAAAAGGCAGAGCAGAAAAGAGGCAAAAAAAAAGTGGGGAAAAAAGAAAAGAGACCACAAAAAAAAGGCAGGAAACAAAAAAGGGAAAAGGGGAAAAAAGGCCCAAAAGGAGGGGGAGAAAAAGGTCTGAAAATAAGGCAGAAAAAGTTTAAAACTCTGAAGATGGGAAAGGCCAAAAAGAGTCCAGAATGCGGGGAAAAAGCCAAGAAAAGGGGGGAAAAAAGGGGAGGGTGGGGGCATAAAAGTGGAGAACAGGCAAAAAAAGGCCAAAAAAAAGGCAGAAATGGTCCAAAAATGCAGAGAAAAGGGCAAAAATGGGCACAAAAGGTAAAAATAATCCCTGCAGAAAAAGGTAAAAATGGCCAAAGGTGGAAAAGTGCGTCCTGTAAAAAGGTAGAAAAGGGCAGAAATGGTGAAAACAGCAAGAAAGGAAAAAAAGGAAGAAGTTAAAAAGGCCAAAGAAAACGTAAAGAGGGTGAAAAAGAAATCAAAGGGGTAAAAAGGGGCAAAAAGGGCCAAAAAATGAGGTTAAAAAGGACCAAAAATGGGCCAAAAGGTGAAAATGGCCAAACAAGGGTCAAAAATGGGCCAATAAATGGGGCAAAAAAGGGTGAAAATGGCCAAAGAGTGGACAGAAAAGGGCCAAAAAAGAGCCAAAAAGGGGCCAAAAAGGGTGAAAATGGCCAAAAAAAGGTCAAAAGGCAAAAAAAAAAGAGTGAAAATGGTCAAAAAGGGTCAAAAAAAGGACAAGAAGAAAGCCAAAAAATGGTGAAAAAGGCCAAAGGGTGTAAATGGTCAAAGAAAGGTCAAAAGGGGCCAAAAAAATGGGCCAAAAAAAAAAAAGAGGGTGAAAATGGGCAAAGAGTGGACAGAAAGGGGCCAAAAAAGAGCCAAAAAGGGGCCAAGGGTGAAAATGGCCCAAGAATGGTCAAAAAAGGGTCAAAAAAGGATGAGAAAAAGGCCAAAAACGGGTGAAAAAGGCCAAAAAAGGGTGCAAATGGTCAAAGAAAGCCCAAAAGGGGCCAGAAAAAAAGGACCCCCCCCCAAAAAAAAGGGCAAAAATGGGCCAAAAGTGGAAAGGGGGCCAAAAAAGAGCCAAAAAGGGGCCAAGAAAGGGTGAAAATGGCCAAAAAAAGGTCAAAAAGGGTCAAAAAAGGATGAGAAAAAGGCCAAAAACGGGTGAAAAAGGCCAAAAAAGGGTTCGAATGGTCAAAGAAAGGCCAAAAGGGGCCATAAAAATAAAAAAGGCCAAGAAAAAAGGGTAAAAATGGGCAAAGAACGGTCAAAAAGGGTCAAAAAAAGGACGAGAAAAAGGCCAAAAAGGGTGAAAAAGGCCAAAGAAAGGGTGAAAAGAGCCAAAAAAGGATGAAAAAGGCCAAAAAAAAGGTGCAAACGGTCAAAGAAAGACCAAAAGGGTTCATAAAGAAGAAAAAAAAAGAGCCAAAAAAAAAAAAAAAAAAGGTGAAAACGGGCACAGAACGATCCAAAAAGCGTCAAATTTGTTGTTTTTTTTTTAAAAAAAAAGGAAAGGAAAACGGCCGAAACGTATTAATAAAAAAATCCCCACCAATCCCGATGCAGAAAAACACCGAAACGGCCCGAAAGAACGAGAAAAAAAACCCCAAAACCCCAAAATTTTACCACTCAAAAAGCCGCGGAGCGCACGAACGGCTCCCGCGGGGGCGCCGC